CTTCAGTTTCGCCCGTGAGTGTAGACACCAAAACTAAGCGCCATCTATTGCAATCTAGAGGACTTGGTGACATGACTACAACACCGAAGAACTTGGTGTGCTAGCTGGCAATAAATTAGGTGACGCATTATTGGGCGTCTATTTTGACAGAAGTGACTTTTTTAAAAGAGAATTTGTTTTGTTTTTCGTATAATATAATTAAACTTTTTTTCACGAAGAAATAGCCCGTAACTTTTACTGTATAAAAAAAATATAAATATTAATATAGCTTGAAATAAAAAGAAATATGGGTCTACTTTGCTGAAATATACAACTCTTGATCTCTTTTGCATTAGAAATAAATTTAAAAAGATATAAACGTTAGTGTTCATCAAGTAAAGAAGAATAAATATGCATTTATAATTACAATTATTTATTTTTATAACCAATATTATTGACTTTTAAGTCTATATTAGATTATTTGTTAATAAATATACAAATAGTTTAATAGGTTTTAATAGACCTTTTTAAAATATAAAATAGATTTATATATTTCGAATATATCCAAAAACGCTACATATTTTTAAAATGAAAAGATTTCTTTAAAATGTGCTTAATTTTTAAAAGATATATATTTTAAATTTTTAAGTCAGTTTTTTTATGAAATAGCAAATGTAAAAGCAAATTTTTGCAATATATGTGTAAAAACAAAAAATATACATTGGAAATAAAAAAAATTGTAATTATAATCTAAATATGAGTTTAGATATATAATTTTATAACCTTAAAACACGACTACCACACAATATGTGTAAATAGATAAATTATAAGAAAAATTTGGTGTTAAATATCAAAATTTACCAAAACTGAATATTTTAATATAAAATATCATTTTTCCTTTTGATTAATCTACTTTAGCTTATTTTTGAATAATAAATAAAGTTACGAAAAATTGATAATTAAGTAAAAAATTTTGAATTATCAAATATTTATTATAGCATTCGATTTGATAATTTTAAATATAATTAGGTTTTTAAAATGTAGTGTTCTCATTTCATTTTTATTTATTCTCTCTTAAATTATAACAAAAAATATTATGTTATGATTTGTGTAAAGAGAAAGAAATATTCAAACATACTGATTTAAAAAATATATTTTTTTTTTGTTAGAGGGGCAATTAAAATATAAATATACAATTATTACACATAATTATACCTAATTATGTGTTATCTCTAATGATATAATATTTCATCGATGACCGAAAAAATATGCGCTAATAAGAAAAAAAATCAGAGGAAAGGATCGGCTGCAAATATTTCTTCGTTAATGGTATACTTCCTTAATGGATGGTCTCTAGGTATTAGGAACTGCTGTGTCCACTCATGTGAGCACATATTTCCCATGCTAGCGGCCCTATATATAGCTATGTATATCTGATGCTCTATATAGATATTTCTTCTCTTTTTACCCGGCATATATGAAAATATATTCTCGTTTCCAAAGTTTAAACATTCTGTAACTTCTTTAATCGCTCTCATTACCATTGAACTACCTTAGCCCACATTATACTACCTAAGGTTATGCTTCTACTAGATGGTCAGTCTATACATTGGTCTACCATTGCCTCCGCAGGAATGGTCTGAATTATAATAGGAGCTGTTAGTCTAGAGAGAATCTATACATCCTTTCTCTACTCAATCTTCTACTGGATGGTCAGTCTAGTGTTGTTACATTGGTCTATCGTTGCCGGGATTGTCTGAATTGCAATACGTAATGGTCTATCTTTTTCCGCCTAAGACATATTTAGAAATGATTTGTTCTCTCCAATTTGAAATTCCTCACCATACAGAGAAGTACTAACTATATCAATAAGAAATTTTGAAAAGGTAAGAAGCATCGAAGCAGGTTTGGAAGGAGAAATAATTTCTCACGTTCCTCCCATTGGGAATGTAAAATACATTAATTAAGTATGACATGCTAGAGGCGTGACAAAGAGATCTGATGTCAAAATGCCGTGTCATGTCGAGTCCTTAGGCGTCCTTTGAACCTTCGAGTATTTTTGGAAAGTTGCATTGTCATCTGCACTCGATGTACAGTACTGTGGAAATACTTATTGGAAATATCGCTGTTGTCGTCTGGAAAGATGCTTCCATGAAGACAAAGATCTAAATTCTGCAGAATCGCTTGTCTGAGATAAATTGCCCTTGAAGAATGGGAAGTAGATCTATATATTCGCTTATGGAGGAAAACCTTGTCTGGGGGCAAGTAGAAAGATCGCTGTTGTCTTCTAGAGGAAAGCTTGTTTAGATGCAAGTAGAAAGATGGCTGTTTCTTTATGGAAGAAAGCTTGTTTGGATGCAAGTAGCAAGATGGCTGTTGTTTTCTGGGGTAAAGCTTGTTTGTATGTAAGTAGAAAGATGGCTGTTGTTTTCTAGAGGAAAGCTTGTTTGGATGCAAGTAGCAAGATGGCTGTTGTTTTCTGGGGTAAAGCTTGTTTGTATGTAAGTAGAAAGATGGCTGTTGTTTTCTAGAGGAAAGCTTGTTTGGATGCAAGTAGAAATATGGCTGTTGTCTTCTGGATGAAAGCTTGTTTGGATGCAAGTAGAAAGATGGCTGTTTCTTTATGGAAGAAAGCTTGTTTGGATGCAAGTAGCAAGATGGCTGTTGTCTTTTGGATGAAAGCTCGTTTAGATGCAAGTAGAACGATGGCTGTTTCTTTATGGAAGAAAGCTTGTTTGGATGCAAGTAGCAAGATGGCTGTTGTTTTCTGGGGTAAAGCTTGTTTGTATGTAAGTAGAAAGATGGCTGTTGTCTCCTGGAGGAAAGCTTGTTTGGATGCAAGTAGAAGGATGACTGTTGCTTTATGGAGGAAAGCTTGTTTGGATGCAAGTAGAAGGATGACTGTTGCTTTATGGAGGAAAGCTTGTTTGGGTGCAAGTAGAAAGATGGCTGTTGTTTTCTTAAGGAAAGCTTTCCCTGAGATTTAAAGAAATATTAAAGAAATATTAATTTAAAGAAATAATTTTTGTTAAACATCAAAGAAAGCTGAAGCATTACGATGTTATTCTAACGGACTCCTTTTTGAAATGTGTGCTCAAACTTAATGAATCAATCTATCTTTCTAAGATGAGAGACAAAATTCTCTTGGAACAAAATCCATGTATCGATCCACGAATGCGTTTCTCTCGTTCATATTGAAAAAGTATAACCAAAATTCGAACTATGATTATAAATAAAAACCTAGTGAAGGCTCACACTGATGAGCTAAGCACTACCAAGGTAATCACCTATCTCTGGTGACTTTCTGCTTTTGGATTCGAATTATTCTTTAATCCCATTGTCATATTTCGATGTGTTTATTGTTAGAAAAAATCATAATCTACATTTATGAACAAAACTAAAGGAAAGTGGAAAATCGTTGATGTCGTCGGTCGTCTAATATTTTTAAAGAGGCAACTTTGTTCACCCTTGGTTATCTTGTGTGTCTTCAATAAGGGACATTGTGTATCAAATATTCAGTCCTAACTCTATATCCTCTCAAAGCTTCTCTTGGGTAGAAACGTATGTGCGGGCTTTATATTGGACTTATTTACATAGTCAGAAACTATAAAGTGGATTCTTCCAGACAAAGTTTCATCTGGGTAGATTAAATTTTGTGGATACATATGCGGGATATGATACATTAACCCCCCATCTGTTATGAGAATTCGAAACTATTAAAGACGCGTATGATTCTTATATTATATATTTATAATTGTATGTATTTCTACTGTCCTCAAAGCTTATGTACATAGTTCATCCAAAATACCATTTTCAAGAGGTCAGTGTCAGTATCGGTATAAAAGTAAAACCGAAAAATGTAATATAACAGCGGTATAGTAGATTAAACTGGCGAAACCGCTATGAGGGTTGACCACTGATGAACCAGGCCCTCCCATTAATTTTTTTATTGCAGTAAGGGCAGTAGAAAACTGTTTAATTTTTAAAAGAATCATACGTGTCTATAAAATTTCTAATATGCGAAATATGGAAACAAGTCTTTTTATCGGTCCACGGCAGTGACTTTCAAAATGAACTCTACTATACCATGTTATAGTTTCATCCAGATGGGTCAGGTATTGAGTAAATGTTACTCCGAACAAGCACAAACATTTATTTATATATATTTCACCCTGTTCCTTTTCATTCACCAGTTTCTTTGTAGTTCTACTTGTCTTTCAAATTTTTCTTGGAATGTCGTCTTAACATGGAGACAGTCTGGCAAACATCCACGCTGGCCAAACAGGAAGGAAGATGTCCGTGTTCTACCTATCTGCCAGGCTTGACATTCTCAGGCTATGTAGACCAAAGCTGTTATCTGTTTTCTTCTAGCACGGTGAAAGGACACTGCTAGGAGTCATTGTCTGTTAAATTGCCGGCTACAAACAAGCTAGAGTTCACTCTCAGTAATTATGTTTATTAAAGGTCTAAAAGACGATAACGCGCCATCTATATATGATCAATTGAAGCATTAAACCACGAATGTTATAATATTATACCTAACTAACCATGTACTTATTATTTGTGAAAGATAAATGCTCGATGCAAATATATATATATGTAATACTACTGCCCTAAAAGCTTATATCCATAGTTTTCTTGAATAGCAATTCTAGGATTCCACCTTTCATTGCAGCATATAAAAGCAGAATCATCCAATAGAGTATTAGAGCTCTAAAAAGCGATCTCGTAGATTAAATTGGCGAAACCGCTGAGAGGGTTCACCACTGATGAGCCAAGACCTCCCAATATTTTTAATCGCAGTAAGGACAGTAGAAGTTTGTTTTATATTTAAAAAGAAATATTCGTGATTTAATGCTCCATTTCTTATTTAAAGTTTATCAAAATATTTCATTTCGTTAGCTTTAAACATAGTTCTTTATCAGATGAGATAGTATTAATATGATCCTTTATTAAAGGCAACGTTATCGGGTTGAAAGAGAATATGATTTTACGGGCTACTAACCAAAAGAAAAATAAATCGATCAGAAGGTGGAATCGAACCCCACTCCGCTTTCAAACGGCTACAGGTTTGAAGCCTGCCCCTGATTCCTTTAGTTCATCTGGGCAGAGGTGAACCCTCAGGTACTGATATAAGAGTTAACGAAGATCTGTGTGTTAATATGTAGAGTTTCCACCTTCATCTCTTCAGCTAACGTCATATAGGGATTGAAGTGAGACAGAATTGCTTTCTCACATCGTCAGAAAAGATTTCATTTCCTTAGTTTTCAAGGCAGGAACGCCTTCACATCTTCCCAGCTTGAGTTAGATGAAGTTTGATGATGTAAAAATACATTTCTATAGTAAAATATTATCCATTTTTTTATTTCCATTGATACAGTTAAATTTATCTTTCATTGCTCTGTCTATCCGGAAACAAGAACACTGTCAAAGTCCAACGGTTTGTGAAAGTTGTCGATCTTTGTTCTGAAGTAAATAAAGTTAACTCTTCTAAGTAATACGTTCATTTTTATATTATCAGATGTATGGGTGTGTAGATAACGTAAGTTTTCGGGCTCAGCTTTTTCTCAGACAATACACGCAGTTTAAATAGGAAACTTGATTTTTCCCCTCCCCCAAAGTGTGTACACATGAGATGTTTAAAATTGTCACTTTTTAATTCTCTGAATGTATAAAATAAAAGCATATATACAAACTCATTTATAGCATTGTAATAAATAGAATATATTTTTAGAAGATTTTTAAAAAAATATCCCTAGAACACGTGGTAAAGGTCATGATAATCGTGGTGGGTAGAAGTAGACGACTACTTTTACTGTAAGTGCACCACATGTCTACACATGTGAAAAGCGGTTAGACTTTTGTACTTTAAAATGTGCCAGAGTCCCATTCGGTTACTTGCACTCGCTGGTGGGTTGGTCTTTTGCCAGAATCAGGGGCCATTGAATCATTTTTTTTTTTAATTAGAAAAAAGTGCCCAATGGGGGATTTGATCCTGGGTCGTAGCGGTCTAAAACCAATGGTTTAGGCCACCCTTCCACCGACCCCCTTTTACAGAGATGGAAATAAAAATAAAAAAGGCATATCCTGGCCAGGAGCACATGTGCTTTTCAGAAGGCAGAGCGTCATCTGGTGGAACAGAAATCAGCTCTTCATTGATTTAGAGATGGAAATAAACAGACATTTTGAGACATTCAGTAGATATGCCATAGAGAGTTGAAACATCAGGGAAGGAGTCGCTAGCTCGAAGGCCTTCTCTACACCATTGACAATAAAAGAAGCTTCCCTGTCGAAATTGGATTATCTGGAAGTGAGACAGGCCATGTTGTGACGACGCAGGCGTATAATTTGTCGCTCCGTGTCGCAATGTCACCTCAACCGTGTCATTAAGCTTGACAAACCGCTCACACCTTCCTTTCCATATATAGGTAGAGGGCTTAGTCATATTAGATGCCTTGTAGATTCAGAAGGTATAGAATGGCGAGAATATATCAAGACACCTAAAGATTCGCTATATAGCAATACTAGTTGGTCTCGAGGACCACGTCATCACCATCTCCTCAGCGGCGAAGTACGCAATCTACGTTTTCTTTGTAGATCACGAAATACGTGGTGTCGCTGGAGAGCCACTGGCGATTCTCCACCAAACTCTGCAGCACTGGCAGAGGCGCCATGTTCATTGTACATAGTATGATACATATATATAATTATCCTTTTTTTAAATAGTGCAGACTGTGCTCTTTTGCATGTATTGGCAAGATGTCAATAAAATTGTTTTAATTTTCAATTGTCAATACGGAATTTGGGATGTTACTTAAATCTTTAAATAATGGAATTCAATAAATAATGATGATACACACAATGTAGAGATATTTTATCTAACATTTAGCTGGATGTGTTCGTGAGTAGAACGTCTTTAAAACTCAGGAATTCGAGGAAGCAAAGGAGGCGTCCAAACATAACCAAATATTAAAAATTAGAAACTATTATAGACAGGTATGATTCTTTTTAGAAATTAACAATTTCTACTGCCCTTACTGCAATGGAAAAATAAATGGGAGGGCCTGGCTCATCAGTGGTGAACCCTCCCAGCGGTTTGGCCAGTTTAATCTACCATCTACTGCCCTTACTGCAATGGAAAAATTAATGGGAGGGTTCAACACTGATTAGCCAGGCCCTCCCATTAATTTTTCCATTACAGTAAGGGCAGTAGAAATTGTTTATTTTCAAAAAGAATCATACGCGTCTATAATAGTTTCCAATTTTGATAACAGATGGCGCGCTAATGCATCATGACCAAATATTCCTTTGGGCCAAATTGTTTGCCACTAAGGCCATTCACCGATAACTCGGCCAAGACCATGCCATCGTTGATCAGAAGATTCTGTAAGAAAACAAGGGCTATTCTTTTAGAGTATCTACCAATTATCACATGATTGGTCTATCTTCGAAAATCCCTAGAACCATTTATTTCGCTTATCTCAAGTATACGTGGTACAAACCATGATAATTATAGTTAGTATGTTAGCAGCTGTCTCTTACTGTAAATGTACCACTTGTTATACACATTTAGTGAACAGTCCGGCTTTTAAACTTGTAAGTAACCATAGCTCCTCTTTAGTTTACTTGCACTCACTGATTTATATTTGAGCTTGCTTAATAATCGGGGAAGAGTTCGGTAGAAGGATGGTCTACACCGTTGGTCTTCGACCGCTACGACCTGGGTTCGATTCCCGCATTGGACACTTTTTTTCTGATTAAAAAAAAAATCTCCAATGGCCCCCGATTATTGCAAAAGTTCAACCCCACCAGCGAGCGAGTGCAAGTAACCAAACGGGGATCTGGCACATTTGTAAGCGCAAATTCGAACTGCTTTCACATGTGTAGACATGTGGTGCACTTGCAGTAAAAGCGAGCTAACTTCTACCCACCATGATTATCATGGCCTGTACCACGTGTACTAGGGATAAGCAAAAATAATAATAATTTAATGACTTTTTCCGTATAGGAACCCTTTAAATCGTAGCTCCCCCCGTGTTTTGATGAGAGCCTTAGCAGAAACCTTGGTAACTAATTTGACATTGGCTCATATTTGTTAGAAAATGGTGTCAGGATAAGCAAAAAATAATAATAATAATAATCGGAGAGCCAATTGAAGCAGAAAAGAAATGCTCAATACGGGATTCGAACTCGGTGTCTGCTATTCCTCTATCACCAAACCGTAGGCGTTAATAAATATTTTAAACAAATTGAGTCTTCGACAAAATAGTGTAAGGAGCTAACTGCCCCTTCAAATATTTTTTTATTGCATACTTGACTTTCAGACACCCTCTCTATCTAATTAATATAACGGGAGTACACACAAACCACCAAGTGTAAAGTAATATTTGTTTAGCTCCCACACAAACAACTTTAATCTTTTTTTCTATAGTCATATGTGAAAAAATATATATATAGAAATGCTAATCATGCACGGTCAGGTTATGCCTTTTTCATTTTTAATATATTCCTATATTTGAAAAGGGCGAATAAAATTCAGGTAAAAGGTTTTAATTTTGGTTTTGCAAGCTTTCAAGCAAATTTTCTGCTCTTTAACGGGCAAATACTTTTATGTACAATATCAAGATGATTTTTATACAAAATAATTGAATAATTTCAATAAGTTTCAATTATTTTTATACAAAGATCATCTTGATATTGTACATAGAAGTATTTGTCTGTTGAAGAGCAGAAAATTTGCTTGAAAGCTTGCAAAACCTAAATTGAAACCTTTTACCTGAATTTTATTCGCCCTTTTCAAATAATTTCTAGGTAACCATTTCTCATATAGTCATATATATAACTCTTTTCGCAAACTCTGATAATTTGAAAGTTGCAGCTTTAATAAAAATAAGTGATTGCAAAAACTTTTAGAGTGACCCTTGTATATAGAAATATTCATTTATATTATTAGTTTTTTTTTTTTTTCGTTCTTCCATTACTTAGAAATCTGCGACTTAACGATGAAACAAACTTTATTGCCACAAATTACAGATAAATTTGAATCAAATTATCTACGGGAGGACGAACCATCTAGGGCAGTGATTCTCAACCTTTTTTTTGTTGCGGCATTATTTTAAAGATTTGAAAATTTGGCGGCACAATTTTAGAATTTCGCGGCACACTTTTGCTAACTTGAATGCAAGAAAATTCAAATTATGTATCAATATTTCTATGCAAAATATAAGTAATATACATCTCTAACATTCAATTTGCTAATTTCGTTATTTTAAAAAGTAAAAAAATGAAAAAGAAAAAAAGAAAAACCAATACAAACGTGAACATAATCATATGACTAAAATTCGGCGGCACATTTTTAGAATTTCGCGGCACACAAAATTACCGCGGCACATTGGTTGAGAATCACTGATCTAGGGTATAGGGCTCGACGAAGGAAAGCTCTATAAAATGAAAAGATTTAAGCATGAATGTTTCTTTTATACACAATACAAACTTCTACTGTCCTTACTTCGATGAAAATAAATATTGGGAGGGCTTAGCTCGCTATATTTTTCATCGCACTAAGGACAGTAGAAGTTTGTATTGTGTATAAAAGAAACATTCGCGCTTAAATCCTTTCATTATATAATATGTCGCGGAGATAAATAAAGCAAGGGCAAATTTGGGAATAAATAATTTATTACAAGGGGTATTTGTAGGGAGAGAGAGTTTTGTACAACTTACCCAAGTTAAAAGTTAATCCTAATGAACGGCGTTAGCCACCGTCCCGTTTTCCTTATTTACATATCAGCTTCCCCCCTCCCGGGGTCCAGGGATGATTGACAGTTGTCCCATCTGGATGGAGCTATTTGACATTACTCCCTCTTTAGAAAAAACAGCGACCCGCTGATTAGCTTGTCTCAGCCCTTGTTCTGGAAGGAAATCTATCACGGCCTGTGTTCCCTAGCAGAATGGAATGTTGTTCTTCAGGGTCCAGGTAGGGCTTCATCCGAATGACATGAACGATATCCTTGGATTTCCGTGATCGGGGAGACGGGTCCACGGGCTCTACTTCATACGTAACTTCTGAAAGCTTCTTGGTCACCTTGTAGGGACCGAAGTATCTCTT